GTGCCTTCATGCCTCTGAGGAATCACTAATTCCCCTCAGACTTCATTAGAGAATCCATCGGCCTTGGAGCCAAAACACTGCTCGGCATATGACTGTCTGCCCCCACTGAAGTGTAGCCAGCAGCTGCCATTTCACTCCTCAGTGGAGACACAGTTACCACAGAATATCACTCCACTCTTTCAGGTTTCCTGGGAACAAAGATCTTTGTTTCAGGGCTGAGTTGTGGTTCAAAGGTGCCGGGTCAGTTCTCCCCTCATGACCATTCCAGCGTTGGTAAACACAGCATCGCTGTGGTGGGGAGCGGGGTTCGATGCTGAGCTAACACTGCCTGTTGTCTCCACAGGTTACCAAAGTGACCCAGGTAGACGGGAACAGCCCTGTAAGGTTTTCCACTGAAACCACCTTCCTGGTGGACAAGTACGAAATCCTGTAATGCTAGACGTGGGGAAGTGCAAAGGAAGAAATTTTTTAAATTAAAACAAAAAAAAGAGACCGACGTTTATTCTGAATGTTGGGAACGCCGCAGCCCCCTCTGCTAGGACATGTGGCTCCGTCTGCCATCTGCAGCGTTCCTGGGTCACAGACATTTTTTGGAAGAGAATTGACGTGCTCGTGGGGGGAAAGGCCACAAATTTCTTTGGCAGATTTTTACCGGCCGGCAGAAAAGCAAGATCTCCGCAGAGAGCCTGACTTTGATGTGTTCCCTCCTCCCCTGGCGACGCCCAGAGCTCAGCCCCAGAGCCGACCAGACATCGTTCCCTACCCTCCCAAAGCGTCACATGCTGTTCCGTTGTTGGTGCTTACATTTTGATTTCTCCTCGTCCTTCAGCTCTCGTTTCCATTGAGGAAAGCAGGCACTGAGAGAACGTGTGTGGGGCCGCCTGCTGCTCCGGACCCTTCCATCTGGTGGAAGCTGAGCAAGTTGCCCTTGGCCTCAGAGGTGGGGGGATCGTAGCAGGGGCACAGGGTGGGTAAGAGGGACCAGGGGCTTTGGTCCTTTTGCCCCACAAGGTTACTGCCGTTCCTTGAGCCCTGCTGTGCTGCGATGGCTCAGCTCCAGATGCTCTGGCTCCTGCTGCAGGGGGAGAGCTTCTGTAGGGGACTGTGTCCTCGCTGTCTGCCACAGCTGCTCTTGGGCCAGGCTTTGGAGGAGGTTTGGTTAGGTTAGAACCAGCTGCATGTCCTTTGCAAGGCCCTTTTGGTATCTGGGGAGGCAGAAGGCTTTTCCCGCGTGGGTGAAGGGAACTGAACCCGGGTAACTGATTGCTGGTCAGAACGTGTCCCAAAACAGTGTTTGTTCAGCGCTGGCAGGGGGGGAGAAGGAAATGCTGTTTTCCAGGAAACATGGGGGCTGATCTGAGCTGTTCCTCTCCCCACTGCCTCACCAGCATTATTTGCCTCATCTCACAGATCTGTGCTCCCATCACAACTCATCTCACCTGTGTGGCTGGGGCCTGTCACAAGTGTCACCTGCCCCCGGGCACACCTCACCTCTGGCCGGAGGGCCTGAGTGTGGAAGGCAAAGGCCCTAGAAGTGCATGTACTGTGCTCTGTGAGAGACAGCCAGCCTGTCATGGGCCCCTGGGGTCCTCTGCCAAAGAAGTCCGTGGTCTCTCCTCTGCTGGCAGCACCTGAGAGAGAAATCAACCCTGGTCCTGTCCTGGGAGGGCAAACCCTCCTCCCTAGCAAAGTAGGTAATGAATCCCAGTAACCTGGTCCTGTTCCAGAGCTGCTTGTCTGTATGATTTTTAAAATGGAGTCGAGGCTAGTTCAAGCATCCAAGGAGCTTTTTTTTTCTTACATTCGTTGGAGGGTGATATTTAAACCGAGCTGAGATCTCCCCTTTTTGTAACCCCATATGATCCTGGCCTAGGGAATAGAGCACATTCCAGTGTACACAGAGAATACTGAGTCTAATCAAATAAAGTACTGTCAAAGGAGCTGGCTGGGGGTCGTGAGGTCCTTCCGGAGCCGGGGCCGCTCAGCCCAGGCCCCGCGGGGGCGGGACGGGGCCGGCACCGGGCGGGGCGGGGACACGGCCGTGGCAGGCGGTGGCGGACAGCGGAGCGGCGGCGGCGGACAGCGGAGCGGCGGCGGCGGCAGAGCCCGGGAGAGGCTGCCTGTCCAGGGGAGTGAAGGTGAGCGGCTGCCGGGATGGGGTGGGACCCTCCCCTACTCGTGGCCCAGGCGACCCCTGCCTTGGGGAGCCTGCGAGGCTGGTTTCAGCGTGTCCTGCCCTGCAGAGACCTTCTTAATGCTTTGGGGGCAGCTTTGTGATGTGGCGGGGGCGAGGGGAGGGGGCTTAGCTGCCTTGGCTCCTGTCAGGGCCAGATGTGGAACGTATTTGGGATCCCTGCCCCCCGGGGCACTCTGGGAGGGGAGCAAGGAAGGAGCTGCAGGCAGTAAAGTAGGAAAGACCCCGTCAGCCATACAACTGGTCAGTGCACAATACTTTAGGGGTGTGTGGGTGGACTGGGAGCTGGGTCTGGGTCTGGTGGTCCGCATCAGTGGTGAGTTTGGTGGTGTGGGAGCCCCCAGAGCAGTATGGTCTCTGTGGGAGGCTGGACAAGCCTCTCCCATTCAATTCCTGCTGCAGCTGGAGGACAGTTGGAGGGGGAGATGGTGCTTGGCCTGAGGCCACCTCTGCTGTCCCTGAATCCTCTTGGGGAGCCTGGGAACGGTGCTGGCCTGGCCGGCCTCTGCTCCATGGCTGGACTTTGTTTACTCCAGCTTCCTGCCACGTTCCTGCCACAGCCCCTTCAGCCGCTGTCAGAAAGCCAGAGGAATTTGGCAGCCCCATAAGGTCCAGCTGCTGTGCCGAAGGGCCGCCCTCTCCCCCATTCCTCCAGCTGCCCTGCAAGCTGCCAGCCCTCTCTGGGCACCAGGCACAGGCTGCAGGGGGGCAGGTCCCCTGGCCAGGCACCACAGGCAGCTCAGACGTGAGGCAGCACTGTCGGGTGCTTTTTTGGTAACTCCTTGTATGTTTGGGTTTTGCTCTGTGGTGCTATGTGTTGGTATATGGGGGGCAGCAGGGCAGGGTGCCATGCAGGGGGATGGAGCCACAGGATTGCACAGCAAGGGGTCTTTGCTGTCAGCCAGACACCAGAGAGTGCTCGATGACTGTTTTGGAGAGAGGAGGTTCACCCTGCCCCTCTCCCAGCAAACACAGGGCTGGATGATGAGTTCATGCCAAGGACTGGATTCAAGACCCACCAAACCTATCCTGTGCTATCGTCTGTGAGATGTCATTAGTGGGAGTCACAGAGGCTCCTCGCTGAGCTGAGTCTCTGGCCTGCAGTTGAGAAGTCATCACTGAACAGAAGAGTGTTCTGAGGAGCAGCTTTCCACTGTGCAGCCTTGAGGGGTCTGGAGCTCATGGTGGAGGTTTCCCTGTCTGTGTTGCAGTGTCTGGAGGCACACGCTGATGCTGGGGTCGGTGCTTGAGCTGCAGCAGTGGTCGGGACTGCATATGGTGTCAGAAGCCTTTGGAGCTGGCTCACCTGGGGGAGTGTTGGGTGCAGGAAAGCAAGGCTGTACGCCCTCCCTGACCTGAGTACATAGTGGGCAACCCCCAGTCTGTGGAGAGCCCGAGGTGTGATGCTGGCAGGGTCTCGGCGGGAGCACAGCTGTGCTGCAGTGGTGCGGGAGCACTTCCCGGGAGCGATGAAATAAGCGGGTGTGGCCGGGATTCCTCGGCTCCCGCTGGAGCTGTCTGGCGGCTGATTTACGGTGGTGTTATTGCCAGGATCGTGGCGTTGTCCTAGCAACGGCAATGGAGCCCCCACCGCCCCTAGCCTGGGTGGGATGGGGCCGGCTGAGTCTCCCCTGCTCGCTGTGGGTCAGCCCCAGACCTGGAGGTAGCGGCCAGGAGCAGGCTCCTCGCTGCCCTCTGGCTTTGTGCTGGAGACGGACTCCCCCTTCCCAGCTGCCGCCGGAAGGGCTGGTTGTTTACCGGGGCAGAGGGTGTGGGAAGGGGTGAGCGCGCCCTAAGTGCGTTAGCAGATGGGGAGCGAGCAGGCAGCCAAGTTGGCCGGAGGCTGCGATGCTCTGCCGTGTGCACCCGTTAGCTCGGCCACTCCAGCGCCTCCTGTGGCTCACCCGGCCACGAGTGGGGAGGAGAGGCCGCGGCAAGGGGTGCCATGTGCCTGCCTCTTCCATGTTGCGTCCCAGGCATGGCTGACACCGCACGGCAGGGTCTGCCAGGCTGTGCTCCCTCAAGAGTGTGTCCTGGCCAGCAGCACACGGTGCAGCTCTGGGGCCTGCCTGCCTGCTGCTGGCACCTGGCCATGCTGATGGGGAGCGAGGCAGAGCGTGCTGTGCCCAGGTTGGGTCTGGGGAGTCAGCAGCAGGTCGGGAGGAGTGGACCCCTGAGCACCCCCTGCCCTGTGAGGGTCGCAGCCTGCGGGCAGTGGGGTGCAGGGGTGCGGTGGGGCAGCGTGTCTGTGTGCAGCCCACCCGATGTTGGCAGGACCCCCGCATCGGCGGGGCTAGGCGTCCTCCCAGGTGAGGCTTTTGGCTGCGCCGGGAGGAAGAAAGGGGCTTTTGTCCTCCAGGAGGCTGAGGCTGAGTGGGCAGCCCTGCGCGCGGGGTGCACGGGGACCGTGGGCTGTTTGGTGGTAACCGAGCCCGACCCCTTGGCATTTGCTGCCTTCACCGCTTCCCACGGCGGGAACAAGCAGCGCGTTCTGCAGGCGGCGGTGGGAGAAGAAAGGCTGCCTTGTCCATCCCAGCAGTGGGGCGCCGGCTGGGGCGGCTGCGCTCCCGCCCCGCATTCCTACGGCAGAGCCGGTTGGAGAGGGGCTGCATCCCCAGCGGGACGGGCTGGGAGGAACGGCGGGCGTCCCCTGCGTGGTGAGGAGCCAGGTGAGGGGCTCCGATGGAGGGCAGTGCTGGGGGACACGGTGCATCGGGCAGCGGTGGGATGCCAGGGTCACCTTCCGGGTCATGGGCAGGCAAGCCTGCCTGTGGAGTGGGGGGTGTTAGGTGGAGAGTGTGGGCAGACAATCGCCCAGGGGACAGGGGTCCCCCATGGTTCTCACCTGGTCTCACCAGTACAGCTGTGCTGGGAAGGAGTTAACACCGGCGCAGGATCCCACCCTGGCCCCGCTCCCTTCCTGTGCAGCAGCCTGGCCCCTCCTGGCTTTTCCTCCTTTCCAGACATTGTGACGGGTCTGTGTGCAAGCAAGGGGTAGGGGCTCAGCTGGGCTGCAGGGTCTCCAGATGCTGGGAAGTGCAGCATCCCAGTGCATGGGGGACATGGGCACCCTGCCGTGGAGGGTCCCACTCGGCTCCAGGACCAGGTGGCAGGTAAGGGAAGGCAGCTGGTGGGCACTGGTGAACTGCTCTTGGGGTACTGCATCTCTGCTTCCTCCTGCCCCAGCTGAGCTGTCCCTATTCTGTGTGGGGTGGCTGTGGTCCCCAAGGAGACCTTGCTGTGGGGCAGCCAACTCTGGTGTCGTAGGAGACATAGGCTTCATCCCAGCCCTGGATCCCATGCCTGGTGTTTTCCAGCGTTTCATTTTTTCCAGAGTGTGTAATAGCCGCTCACTCGCCCCCGCAGCTGAGCCTGGTGCTGGCCGAGCTGCGGGGGTCCCTCCGGGGGTTGATGGGACAGCGGGCAATGCTCCCGGGGGCTGAGCCTGGATCTCCTCCTGGTGGCCTGTGATCGGGATCCCTAACGGGGATAGAGTACTCCCTGGTTGGGCTGCATGGGAAGGGTTAAGCTGCACTTGGCCAGTCCTGGGCGGAAGGGAGGGACATGGGGAACAGCAGACGGTAAATTTAGTAACCCTGGAGCATCCCGACATGGCGTGAGCGCCGGGTGACGGAAATCGTTCCTTCCCAAACTGCCTCCCACCCACGCAGAGAACGAGTGGCAGCATAGCTACTCTAGGGGCAGCCAACCCTGCCAGCCGCGGGCCTGCGTGCCACCTCAGCAGGGACATGGCACAGACAGCCGAGCTTGTGTACCCTGAGCTGCTGCTGCTGCTGGGCTGTGTGGGAGCAGAGGTGTGTGCCTGGGTGCTGGGGACGGGCGCTGGTGACACGCTCAGGGGTACCTGGGTTGTGCCATGCATGGCAGGCAGGTGTTGCTGGGGACAGCCAGATCCTGTGCTTGTGTGTCTTTGTCCACTGGTGGCCACTGGAGGTCTGGTTGTCCACTGCTCTTGAGGTTTAGGGTGTGTGTTTCCTACACTGCCTCCCCAAAACTGAGCACGTATGCCGTCTCCTTCTGGGACCATGTCTGTCCTGACACCTGGCATGCATGTGGGTTTCCCTGGGCAGATGGGGATGTGTGCCTCGGCAGGCAGGGATGCTCACTGACTTCAGGCAACTGCTGACACACTGGAAACGGGAGCTCAGGATGGGCATCCTGTTGGTGGCAAATGCTGGTTTGGAATGGATGGGGTTTATGCTCAGTGTGTGATGTGCAGGAGGAATACATAAAGGCCATGCCCATTGTGGTCACTTGTGCTGCCATTCTCTGTTTCTTTTGGCAGCAGGCCGTGCCCAGAAGCATCCAGTATCTCCAGGCAGGCATCATGGAGGCATCTGGCAGGACCCCCACCAGCCCAACCCACAGAGTCCAGAATGTCATCCAGGTGAGCACACAGGACCACAGGACCTTTGCCCTGTGGGAACAGGGGGATCTGGCTTGGAGCCCTTCTCCTCCACAGCCAGCCCTACCATGGGTGCTGTCCTCCAGCCTCTCCTCACCCCAATCCTATTATGGGATCGTTGGCAAAGCCCATTGAGCTAAGCAGCTGGTAGCTCAGATCCTCTTAGATGCAGCCCAAGCCCCAGAGATCTGCTCCCAGGGCAGCTCACCTCTGCTCCCCAGGGTGGATAGCACAGGCAGGAGAGAGCCCTCATCTCCTGTGTCTTGCTGCTGGATGGTCCTGCTGGTGTGTGGCTGTGCCTGGGCAATGATCCCACCTGTGCGTGTGGCTGTTCTGGAGCAGACCAGCCCGCTGGGCAGTGCAAGGGAGTGAGCTGCATCTGCGGGAGCTGTGAGCATCCCTCCCTCTCCTGCAGAACAGCCCTCTGGACCTGATTGACACGGGCAAGGGGCTAAAAGTGCAGACGGAGAAGCCACATTTGGTGAGCCTGGGCAGCGGCCGACTCAGCACTGCCATCACGCTCCTGCCCCTGGAGGAAGGTGAGTGCTGGCTGCCAGGCAGTCCCTGTGGGCATGCTGGCAGCAGGGACACTGAGCTGCCCTCTCTGCTGGCAGGAAAGACCACCATCGGCACGGCCATGACAGACATTGTCCTGCAAGGCCCTGGGCTGGTGCCTCAGCACTGCTACATTGAGAACGTGCAGGGGACGCTCACCCTGCACCCCTGTGGCAACACCTGCGCCATCGATGGTGTGACTGTCCGGCGGCCCACGCGCCTCACCCAAGGTAGGAACGGGCTGGGGTTCACCAGAGCCTTCACCCGGGGAGTTGTGCCATCAGGTATCAGAGTGTTGGCAGAACCATCCTGTAATTGCATATCCCAGCTGGGATGGTCCTGCCTCTGTACCCTGGGCTGGCATGTTTGAGAACAGTTTAAGAACCGGCTTTGCCAAGTGCAGCAAGTGAGGTGGGGAGGGAGAGAGCCGGGCGGGCTTTGGAGAACAAGGGGAGATGCTAAGTCGGCTTTTGGAAGGGAGATGACAGAGGAAAACCACCTCAGGTATCCTCCCGAGGGATGGCTGCCTGGACACGCCAATCTGCCTGCGCGGCTGGAGGGCTTGGACCCTGCGGGTCCCCCATGGCCGCTCCTGGGGAGGGAGCATGGGCAGAGCCAAGGGCCCCTTCCCACGCCATCCCGTCCCCGAACGTCCCGTATCCCGCTTCCTGGGAACGACTCTCCGCCGGGCGGGGCGGGGCGGGCGAGGCCCGGCCCCCCGGCCCTCCCCGAGGGCGGTGCGGCGCTGCCCGGGCGGCGGCGGTGGCGGTGGTGGTACGGTGAGTGCGGCGCTGCGGGGCCACGCGTGTCTGCGCCTGGCGGGGGGACTCGCTCCCGTCCCTCCGAGGGTGACAAAGCCCCGGTGCTCCCCGCGGGCCGTGGCGTTGCGGCCCCCCCGCGCCATTCTCCGTCCCTCCCCGGGGAGGGGGGAGCCGCCCGCGTGGGCGCTGCCGCGGGCGTCCCCGCGGGGGACAATGGGAGCCACGTGGCCGCCGGAGAAGGGGCGCGACGGCTCCGGCGCGACGGTCCTGCCGGGTCCCGCCGGTCCCATGGTGGGTAACGAGGGCCAGGTGGGCTGTGGGGTGCGGGCAGGGGTCAGCCGAGTACCCCGTTCTACTGCCCGCGGGGGCCAGTGGGGGCAGGCAGGGATACGGCGGGGAAGGGAGGGCACCTGTGCCCAGCCACAGTGGGACGAGCCGTGGGGCTGCCAGGCCGGCGCTCGGGGTGCGGGTTGGGGTACCCTGCTTTGCCGACGCGACGCGTGGCTCCACTGGTGCCGGCACGCGGGGAAGGGGCAGGGCAGTGATGCCTCTCGACAAAGGAGCCGTTCCTGGGTCGGGCGCTGGCATTGCCACCTGGCAGGCAGGATGCCCTCGCTGAGCCAGGGTGAACAGGACTCGTCCCGCGCTGGCACTTGGACAGGGGAGTCAGGCCCCCGCGGCGGCGATGGCGGTTAATCTGTACGGCCTCTCACTCGCCTTGCTGCGAGCCTGGGCTGACGGGTGCTCCAAAAAACACATCCCCTCCGGCCAGGGATTTTCGGCTCCGGCTGTTGGTGAGGAGTGAGCCTCTCCCCGGGGCCCTGGCAGGCTCTTCAAAGCGGGGTGTGTCGGCAGCACCGAGCCTCTCAGCCGCCTGCCGCTCCCCGCTGCCAGCACAAGGCTTCCTGGCACCACGGGCAGTGGGCGAACGGGCAGTGGGCAGCCCACGGTGCTGCACCCTGAGCTGCCTTCCTCTGGAGGGCCACTCGGCAGCCTTGCCCCGAAAGGGCTGCCACTTTGGGCCAAGAAGAAGTGTTTTGCGGGCGGGGACAGGAGCTGTCTTGTCTGCAGCTGGCAGACGCACAGGCCCTGGAGTGCCGCCAACTCCCCCGCAGCCCCCGGCGGGGACCCCAGCTGTGCCTGTGCCTGCGTCGCGCTGCCGGCAGCTGCTGGGGAGTGACCTGGATTTCAGCCTTCCCCTAAGCCTCTGCTGACAGCAGGAGCCCGCTCCCCTCCCAGGGATGCATCTTAGGGCCAGCAGCGCCTTTCTGCCTCCCTGTGCTGGCTCCTATCTCCTCTCTCTCCAGCATCGTTCTGATACTGCCAGCCAGCAGCTGACCCCTCTCCTCTCTCCCAAGGGTGCACCATCTGCCTGGGCCAGGCCACCTTCCTCCGCTTCAACCACCCTGCTGAGGCCAAGTGGATGAAGAGCATGATACCGGCAGGAGGCAGGAGCCCAGCGGCTTTCTATGGGCTGCCAGCAAGTAGGTGACCCCCTTTGTCCCAGGCAGGGTGAGGCAGATGCTGAGGTGCTCCCTGACCTGCACCATAAGCCTTCCTGGCATGTGATGCTCTCCCAGCCCTGTCCTGCTGGACTCCCAGCCCTCCCACTTGGGAGTGGGGCTCATACCTGGCTGCAGATGTGCCGTCCATCATCTCAGCGTGCTACAGCAGCTGCAGTGATGTTTGTTAATGATTAATATAATTTCAAAGAGCGCGGCTGTGGGGGCAGTGAGGCAAAGCTCTTGCTTCTGCCAAGCCTGGCCACGGCAGAGCCATCACCCATCGGAGCCCCCCCAGCTGCCTGTGTTTACATGCCAGGGCGGGTGTGCCGGGGCTGCGAAGGCCGTTTCCCTGACTGCTGTCCTTCATTTCACGAGCTGCTTATCTTGCTGTGTCTGCCTGTCCGTGGGGTGATGGGTTGAGTGCCAGAGCTGTGCCTGGTTCCTGGGGATGTCCAAATTCCAGGCAGTGATCCCTGGGCTGACAGCCCTTCTGCCTGCCCTGACCAGCACACCCTGGCACAGGGAGAGGAGCTTGGCAGCCTCTCCATGCCACGTGTGTGTCAGGAAGGCAGCACGGCCACAGCTGGAGGATGGGAGGAGGGACGCGGGGAAGCGCTGAGGCCGAGGAGCATCATACAAGTGCAAAGCATCCTGCAACTGCACAGAATCTGGTGCGGGCCCTGCGTGGTCCCTCTGCCATGCGGGACTGGGTGGGATCACACGGATAGGGCTGTGGCACAGCTCTCCAGGCGTGGAGGCACTGCCAACTGCTGCGGGGGAGCTGCTGGGTGCCAGGGGGTGACGCAGCCTGGGTGGCACGCTGTCCTGGCTGGGCTCCGCGCCTGCTGTGATTCGCTCGTCCCCTGAGTGACAGGCACATCGGTGCTGCCCAGGGAGGACAGGGCAGCCCAGGCGGGGGCACCCTGGCCAGGGGCGCAGGGAGGCTGCAGGCAACGTGGCAGTGGGTCCGGACACGCTGCAGGTCAGCAACTTTTGGCTGTTGCATCTCTGACCCCTTGCTGGGGAGCTGGAATGTGCCAGGGGCAAGTGGTGGGTCCCAGTGGCTGGCGCAGGCAGCTGCTCTCCGGGAACTGGGGCCGGGAGCTGCAACACAAGGATGTCAGAGTGGGCGGCTGGGCTGTGCTCTCAGGTTTCTGTCTCCTGGGTGACGGGGCCAGCGGGCTTCCAGCCTCCTCCCTAGCCCTGGCTCCCCAGTTGAAGTGAGAGAGGGTGGCAGTGGGGGTGCAGGCAGCTTGAGGTGCAGAGAAGAGGGGCTGTGACCCAGCTCTGGCTCTGTAAGGCTACATGGAGGAACAATGCCAGGTTGCCTTGGGGAACCCCAGCCCAGGCAGGGGCCATGGGGGGGTCACACCACACTGACTGCCTGCTCTTGTGTCTCCCTGCAGAGCCCGAGGCCCTAGTGAACGGTGGCCACCAGCCATCAGAGCGTGGGTGTCCTAGCCATAGCTCCCTTGTCAGCTCAATTGAGAAGGACCTGCAGGACATCATGGACTCACTGGTGCTGGAGGAGCCGGCATCTCCTGGCATCCAGAAGCCTCCGGCCTGTGGCCGGTCCCCTCTCTCCCCTGTGGTGAATGGGGGTGGACGCTGCCTCCTGTCCCCCCTACCCAGCCCCGGGGCTGCCTCGGGAGGCTCCAGCTACGAGAACTTCTCTCCACTCTCCTCCCCGGCCAGCAGCAGCAGCTACACCAGCCCCTCGCTGAGCAGCCAGGAGCAGGGGCCACCTGTGCCCCCCCTTGTCCCACTCCGCTCCTCCAGCTACAACCACACTGTGCAGCCACCCACCCTGCCCAGTGGGAGTCCTAGTGAGCCTTGGCCGGTTGAGAGGCTCGGCGACCATAGGGCAGGCAGCCCCCGGCTGACACCCAGGGTGGCACCGCGGCCACGGGCGGCCCTACAGGAGCGGCCCCCGAGCCCCTTCCGTGAGCCACGGGACTCCCTGGTGCCCAGCCGACAGGCTGCCAGCAGGGCAGTCCCAGAGGCCCGACTGCAGCCCCCGGAGAGCCCGCGGGTGGCCCGGAGGAACATGGAGAGCATGCGGGAGTTGCCCCCCCTGAGCCCCTCCTTGTCACGCCGGGCTGCCAGTCCCCGGGCAGCTCCTGACACCCCCTCCCCACAGCCCCGGCTGGGCAGGGAGGTGCCTGGCAGTCCCCGTGCAAGGCGCAAGGGCTCGGAAGAGTCGAGAGGTGCTGGAAGCCCCTCGCCCCCACTGCTGGCAGAGACCTCCACACGCCGCCCCAGCTTTGGCACTTGCCTGAGCCCAACATATGGGCTGAGCTCACCGGCCATGCCCTCGCCCCATCAGAGCCCCCGTGCCCCCAGGAAGCCTTTGGGGGACCCACGGCTGCCAGCGGGGCCACGAGAGCGCAAGAACAGCATCACCGAGATCAGCGACAATGAGGATGAGCTGCTGGAGTACCACCGGCGGCAGCGGCAGGAGCGGGTTCGGGAGCAGGAGATGGAGCGCCTGGTGAGCCTTGGGGTTGGTTGGGGGGGGACACATTTGAGCATGGGACACCCTCTTTGCAAATACCTTCTGTTATTTGCTACTTTAAAACCCGGCCCTTGCCTCTCAGGGATTTGCTGCAGCTGCCAGGCTGCCGGCTTATCTGGGGGGATTATGGCCAGGAATGGCCATGGGTGCTCAGCAGCTCTCTGGGAGTACAAAGCCCCCAACTTGCAGCAGCCCAGGGAAGTTGGTGGGGTCGGCATGGCTCTGGGGCTGCCATCAAAAGCCAGTGGTGCCCCTGGCTGTGCAAAACTATCCACGTCTCATCCATCCCTGCCAGGGCCATTCTGCTGGCGGCAGTGCCATGGCTCTTGTGGGCATTGCATCTATATTTAGGGCCGATGGAGTTTTTATGGAGCTGGCAGCTGCCTGGGTGGGGTTTGCCTGTGTCTCTGCTGGTCCTGGAGGCCGAGCCGCCAGGGCCCTGTTTGCTCAACCCTGACTCACGCCCAGCGTGGGTAGCCTGAGTCACCGCCTGGAAATAGCGGAGGCGTTCAGCGGCCAGTGCTGCTGCCTGTAATTAGTCTGTCTCCAGCTCCTGGCACATCGCGTGCCTGGCTCTTGCAGGGGGTTTGGTGCAGCTGCATCGTGCTTTCTGACGTCCCCAGCCCATCCCAGCGTGCAGCAGGGCAAGCAGTGAGCCCATATCCTGGTGTCCACTATCAGCACGGGGTCCCACGGGCTCTGGCCATGACACGTGCTGGGACAGGTGCCATGCTAACGGTTCTTCCCCACAGGAGCGGCAGCGCCTGGAGACCATCCTGAACCTCTGTGCTGAGTACACCAAGACGGACAGCACTGAGCCGAGTGACGTGCCCCGGCTCCTGGCTGGTGATGCGGATCCTGGCCGGCGGGTGCCCAGGGGTGCTGTGGCTCTGGGCCGTGCGGCCGAGGAGCTACGGCAGAGGGAGAGCCTGGAGAAATCAGATGAGGAGAACTTGAAGGAGGAGTGCAGTAGCACCGAGAGCACCCACCATGAGGTAAGGGGACAGCTGTGCCACGCTGTGCTGTGCCGTGCTGCACCGTGCCATGCCAACCAGCCCTCTCCACAGCACGAGGAGTTGACAGGCCCCCGGGCCAAAGAGGCGCAGCGCCTGGAGGAGGAGCGTGCCAGCGTCCTCGGCCACCTGGACCAGCTGAAGGGCCGTGTCAAGGAGCTGGAGCAGCAGCTGCAGGAGACATCACGAGAGGTGAGGAGTCAGTGGACGCTGCCAGGTCCCCTGCTGCTTGCTGCCCTCACCAGTCAGTGCTGAATTCCACGGGCATGAGCCAGATCCAGCTGGGGCAGCCATCCTGATGTGGCTGTGCCTGTCCAGGCAGAGATGGAGCGGGCGCTGCTGCAGGGTGAGCGGGAGTCAGAGGCGGCGCGGCTGCGGCAGGAGCAGGAAGCAGTGCAGCAGCTACAGGAGAAGCTCTCCAGCCTGGATGCCAGCATCCGCAAGGAGTGGGACAAGGTGAGCCTCACTGCAGGTTTGCACTGTCACCATCTGTGCCTTACCCTCCCTGGCACTTGCAGCCAGTGCCATGATGCCCCATGCTGCAGTGTTCCCCTGCAGACACGTTCTCCAGACCCTGGGCTCCACAGAGGCTTTGGGGAGCAGCCCCTCTGGTTTGTGTTGTGGGGAGATCTGTCTGTCTGTCCGTCTGCCTGGGACAACAGCCTGTCCAACAGCCCTGCCAGAGGAGAACTGAGCTGATGCTAGGGGAGCATTTCAACTGCTACCTGTTGCGCTGGCAGGGTCTGGCAGGGAGACTGTTGTGTGGGGCTTTCCAGGTGGCTGCTGCCTGTGGTGGGCAGTGCTGAAGTGGGGGGTCTTGGCATTGCCCATTCCCTGCCCTTGCTGGGGAACTGCATCTTGTGGCAAGTCACCTCACTCTGCTGCATTTGGACAAGTGAAGGCAGCTGCTGCTGTAGCGTTCAGCTCGCTGGAGGTGGCTGGGAAATCACTGCAGGTGTTTTAACTCATCTCAGTGGCTGAGGAAGATGTCCTGGCCCCCTTTCCCTGGAGTCATCTGTGGTGCAGTTATAGCCTGAAGGCACACATGCTGCTGCGTGTACCACATGCTTGTCCCAGCTGCTGGTTGCTGGCCATCCCACCGCCTTACAGGCAGTGTGGTATGACCTTGGGTAAGCTGCTCTGGAGCAGGAGAGCTGCTGGAATCCAGCTCCCCGCTGCCTGAGGCCAGTGGTCCTGTGCAGTCTGTGCCTGGGTCCCACTGGCAGCTCTGTGCCACCGTGATGTGGCACCAGCGTCCCTGGGGCCCTGGCTGGCCCCATGGCTGTAGGTACTGGGGCTCTCAGGGTGTCTGTGGCCAGGCAGAGCAGCCATCAGCACCTGCCAGCACTGTTTGGGGGTTTTATTCTGGTTTTGGTCTTCCAGTGCTTTGTAGGCATCATCTGTAGCCAGGGACAGCCTTGTGCAGAGCCAGGAGAAGAGCACAGGGAAATCCCCATCCCAACCTCTCTGCTGACCTGAGTGCCTGCTTTCCTAACCCGCCTGCACTACTTGCACTAACAGTGCCTGCTCCGAACTCTACCATCATCTCTGGCATCTCTGTATGCCCAGGAGCCCCTAGGCACCCCTTTTGATGCATCCCCCATCTCCATGTGGAGCATTGTTCCTTGCAGCAAGCGTTTCCCGATGCCAAGCCCCACGGTGCTGGGGGAGGTGGTGCCCCTACACCAGCCCTGTGTTGCTGGCCCCATTTTACTGCTTCTGTGGCAGTGGGAGGGAGGGTTGGGGTCAATTCCCCCTCATTCCAGGCCCAGGAGCAAGTGTTTGCTCTACCACTGACTTGACATAGCCTGACCATCACTGGCAGCATGGCTGGACCTCATCCTCCTGTTTTCACTGCTGCCTTGTGGGCAGCCCTCTCCTGCTGATGGATGAGGGTGGTCCATGCACTCAGGCTGCATTCAGGACCTTCAGTGCTTTAGCTGGCAGCATTCCGATGGTGAGCAGCACTTAACAAAGCCAGTTAGTGGTTGTTCAGAGGGTGCATGTGGTGCAGCTGTGTGCAGGATCAGGATGACTTTATCCATGCTATCAGCATTGATCTTTTTGCTGCCTGTAAGTTTGTTTTTGGAAACACAGGGCTGAGGTTGAGGGCTGGCTGTAACTCCTCTAACACCCTGTGGACCCAGCTCCTACGTCTGTTGCTCTCTCTTGCTATGCTCCCTCCCCCCTGCCCCACTGTAGCTGCCCTGATGCTCTTCCTCACAACCCTCCTCTCTCTCCTGCTCTAACTCACAGCTTCTGCATGGCGCCCATTTGAGAAGTGTATTTTCTCTCTTCTTTCTCTTTTCTTTTTCTTTTCCTTTTCCTTTCTTTTTTTTTTTTTTTTTGTTTTATCTTGTTCTCCCCTGATTCAGGAAAGGGCAAAGATTGATGCTGAAAGGAAGGAGCTAGAGCAACTCCGGGTGCTTTACCATGAGTCGAAGAGCCACCTTGATAAGTGCCCCGAGTCAATGCGGGAACAGTTGCGGGAGCAGATGCGAAGGGTCAGTGTCTCCCCCCACCCCTCCCGGACCATGGCCCACCTCCCTCCGCTCCAGCTTAGGCCAGCTCTTCCCTGCCAGCCGGGGCTGCACTGGGAGCGTCACACCCGGGCTGGAGGCAGCTGGCACCGGGCACCACCGTCCTGGTAAGCTTGCTGCTCGCCCGGGCCCAGGGCGCAGGGCTGGCTCAGCAGAGCTCCTCAGGACCAGGCAGGGCACAAGCACAGACCCTGCCCTGCCAAGGAGGGCAGGCTGGGGAGCCTTGGGGACCGCCGCATCCTCGTCTGGCTGCCTCCCGCTATTTCCTGAGAGTGTTTATTTACACGGCACCGTCGGTTTATGTTACTGCTAGTCCGCAGCATTTTTTCCCGTTATCTGGTATTTTCCAGAAGCAGTTGACTTTCCCCAGCTCATGGCTGCCACCTGCCCAGATAAACCCCCATTGCCACAGCCTGTTCTGGGCAGGCGTCCCCATGCTTGTTGTGAGTCGGGTGTGGCGGGCAGGGGTGGCGATGGAGCAGTCCTGGTGTATGGGAGCCCTCAGTAGCCACCACGCCAGCGCTGTGCCATGAGAGCACCAGCTGCCTGGCTCCTGGAGCAGGGTGAAACATGTCCCCAAAGGGTGCACGGTGCAATGGCTGCCAGGGTGGCACAGGCAGTCCCTGAGCTGAGTGCTGCCATGTGCTGTTGATGCGTGAAGGCTGGGAGGACACACAGGAGTTTGTCCAGCACAGTGCTTGTCTGTGGGGGCTCTGTTGCCCGCTGGCTCGGTGATGCAGGGCTGCATGTTGGTGGTTACGCTGGCACGTGGTGTTTTGCTGCCTGTCAGGGCATGGCTCCAACCCAGATGTGGTTCAGCAGGGGCAGTTGGTCTCCAAGGGCTGGATGAAGCCCCTGCCTCTGGTGAGCTCCTCATCTCATGAGGGTAATCGCTCTGTCCTGGCCAGTTCTGGGTTTCTCCGTTGCCATCTCCTGTGGCAGACGCTCCAGGCAATGTCTCCCACGTTTCTGGTGCCCTGCAGAAGGCAAAGCTGCCTGCCTGCCCGCACCAGGCACAGCAGACACAGGCTTGGCCATGAGCTCTTGTTCCTGGCCAGCACCAGCAGGATGTGGGGACTTGCAGGAGGTTTTGCTGTGGGATGCTTGCCTGCAGGATGAGGAGCTGCCCATCCAGAGAGACTGATCTGCTGTGCCCTTGTGTGTCTAAAGGAGGCAGAGGCACTGGAGACAGAGGCCAAGCTGTTTGAGGACCTGGAGTTCCAGCAGCTGGAGCGTGAGAGCCGCCTCGAAGAGGAGCGTGAGGCACGAGGCAAGCAGCTCCTGCAGAGCCGGGCCGAGTGCAACCGCAGCATCGCCCGCAGGAAGGTAGGGGCAGAGGGGGCAGTGGGTCTGTCACAGCCAGGCTGTGTCCCGTGGCTCGCTGGCAGCCAGCTCATCCCTGCTGCCTGCTCCCCAGGAGCGGGTGGCTGCCCTGGATGCCCAAGCTGCCCAGATTCGGCTGCAGAGTGCCCAGGAGGCCGAGCGCCTGACCAGGGAGCGGAGTGGTGTCCTGCAGCTCCTGCAGAAGGTAATGCCAGGATCAGGGGCCTGACAGGGGCTCCCTGACCCTGGGGGTTGCTCAAGGCAGGGGACAAGATTGCGCCAGCTCTTGTCAGAGTGCTGGCAGGAAGGGTGAGCTTGGGAGGGGACCAGCCATGGGGTGCTCATAACCATCAGCAGCTGTCTCTGCTCTCACTGTCACCTTGTATGCAGGAGAATGAGAAGCTCATGTCTCTGGAGAGGCGATACCAGCTCGTCACAGGTGGAAGGAGCTTCCCCAAAATGTCCTCGGCTCTCAGAGAAGTAAGTGGGTAGAGGGGGCTATGGTGCCTAGGGCTGCTCTCCTGAGCCACTGTTGCCAGTGGGGATGAGCCTTGTGCACCACAAGTTCTGCTCTGCAATGGCTCCTATGCTCCCAAGCACCCTCTGGCCAGAGCCAGGTGCTCCCAGCCACTCAGAGTCTTTCCATGGGCTGCAGAGGTTGGGAGGGAAGGAGGGAAATGCAACAGGGCAACATCTGGGACAGCACTGCTTCAGGTCCCACCCTTGCTGGAGAGCAAATGCGGGGGTGTTTTGGTGCTAGTACAGGGGACTTTTAGGTGGGAGTGAGTCACTCTGTTGCCCTGCTCGTGGCTCTGAACGGGGAGCCAGAACCATGATGCCCTTGGGAGCTGTGGTTCTGCCAGACCTGCTGCTGGGAAGAGGGGCGGGATGGCAGAGTCCCCTTGTGCCTGCCTGCAGTGGGACTCCTGCTGCTGCCACCTTGCTGCCTGTGCCCACCTTGCCTACGTGATCTTTACCCTCCAACAGGAGACCCTCCATATCTCAGAGCCTTATGAGCTATTGGAGGGAACTAAGTCCTTGAGCCCCCTGCCAGCAGCAGCTGCCTCCTTAGCTTCTCCTGCCACCCGCTCCTACCCCAAGGCACAAGAGGTAACTAACTAGCAGGACTAACTGCCTGTGCTTGCTCGCTTGCCCCTCCTTGGCAGAGACCCCTTTCGTGGACTAACGTCACCCCCAGGCAGCAGGGCAGCCCTGCAGCAGCATGGCTGGGGCATTTCTCATTTAGCTCTCTGGCAGCTGTGCTCATTAACACTCAGTCCCTGATTTCAGGTGCTCTCCTGAGCCCAACGGGCATCCCAGCTCCCGCTGCTGCCCTCTGTTTTAACCCTGGTGTGGTGCTATGGGGCACGGCATTCCTGTGCTTCCCCTTGCCCACCACTTACCCCTCTGGCTGGGCACCTCCTGGCAGCATCCTGTAGGGTCCTGCTAGCCTGGCTTCCCTAAAATAAGAGCAAGTCACAAGCTTTAGCATGTTTGGTTCAGAAAGGATGTGGAAGTGGATTTTAAGCTGCCTCAGTGCAGCTTGAGGTGCCTCAGTACTGTGGGGAGGGCTTGTGGCCAGGGGCCCTGGGGGACCCTGAGGTCTCTCCTCAGCAGGCACTCAGCAGAGCTGTGCTGAAGGCAGGAGGGAGGCGGGTGCCAGCACACCCAGCCCAGCTTGGGCACCACACTCCCCACACAGTGCTGCGCACTGGGGCTGCCGTGAGCAGTAGGGCAGGGCTGGGCAGGCAGTCTTGGGTCATGCGTGCACAGGGAGGTTTGCTCCCACTTTGCAGTCAGTGCCATAATGCCAGCACATGGGTCTAATTCTCCTCCTTCTCCCTCACCGTGGATTTCTAGGAGTACATGAGGCTGTCTGACGTTTTCAGGTTCTGCAGCAATACTCACGGCCCCAGCCTGGACACTAAAGCTTCTGCTGCTGCCCCTGCTGCTGCTCAGCGCTCTTTCTTGCTTGCTGTACCTCCAGCAGCCGACGAGGTACCCGCCCCAGAGCATGCTCGGGTTTGCTCCCTTGGGTTGCCCGCTGCATCCCGGGTCAGGGGACTTGTCTGGCTGCAGCTGAGGGGGGAGCAGAGGCTCAAGCTGCCTGGTCTCCTTGCCAGGGTGCACTTCTTACCTGCTCTGGATGTGTTGGCAGCAGGGCTGGGGAGCAGAGCAGGTGCCCAGCAGAGTGGGAGGGTGGCCCTTTGACTGTTCGATCCAGTCCTGGCCGCTGGTCCCAAGCAAGGAGGATGCAAAGCAGGCAGGGACCTGACCTGGTGCCCAGCACCAGGGTAGCAGCAGTACCAACTGCTCTTCCTCCTGGGACATGGCACCCTCCTTTGGGAGGCTGGAGCTGCCTGTTCATTCCCCTGTGCCTGCTTGCCCTTGCTCTTCTCCTGGTTTAATATGCTTCTCTTTGCCCAGTACGTGACCGTTGAGCAACTCTCAGGCATCTTGGGCAGCCTCCACACCCCTGCTGCTTCCCTGCTGGGCTGCATCCCTCCGGCCCCTTCATCCTCAGCCTGCGCTCCTCCTCCTCTTTCATCTCTCTCTTCTCCCTTCATCTCTGCAGAGGTTTGTGCCCTGTTTCCCTCTCTTGGGACCCTTGTCCTCTCCCTAGGAGGTGCTGGGGATGCATGGGAAGGAGAGAACTGCAGATGAAGCTGAGCAGCAGCTCAGGCTCTTGACAGCCTACACACCCTTCATTGTCCTGTCTGCTGCTTCACTGCCCATGGGGCAGGTCAGGGGGATCTTTTTGCTTGATCAGCTCTCTTGAGCAGCAAAGGGCTCCTACGGCTGCTGGGACTTAGCCAGGGAGTGCATGGGATCCCTGGGGGTCTGCACATCAAATGCTGGGGGAGTGGTGCAGGCACAGGCAGGGATGCTACCCCTTCTCTGTGCATCTGTCCCTCTTGCTGCATTTGTCCTTCATCCTTTCTCACATGGCCTCTCTCTCCAGATGGAGCAGCAGCTGCCAGGAGGCCCCGTGTGCCTCCCGGCTCTTGATTTAGAGAAATGGTACCAGGAGGTCATGGCTGGCTTTGAGACCTCCTCTTGCCCTGTCTCTCCTCCTTCTTCCCCTCCTCCACTTCCAGCTAAAGCTCACTCCTCTCACAAGGCTCTCCAGGTAATCCTGGCTCCCTGCTGCCAAGGCTCAGGCTTTGGGGCTGCTGGCCATGGCGGGAGTGGGGCAGTGTGGGGATGTTCCTGTGGACCCTGCACCCTGAGTGCTGCCAGGCCCCTGCCTGCTGATGTGGGCAGGGGCAGAGCAGACCTGCTGCCTGGGGCAGGCAGCCCCTGCTTCTTATCGCCTGCAGCCCTGCCAGAATGGCACTGATATGGGGCAGGATCTGGGGAAGGGATGCTCAGCCCTGCTTGCGGATGAGCCATCTGTCCAGGGGGGCTTTTGCAGTCCCCCATGTCCCTCTCACCTCCATGTCTCTGTGCCCAGGTCTATCGTGCAAAAACAGAGGGTGACGCTGGTGTCCCCACCCCTCGGATGAAGAGTGGGACCCCCTCGTCTTCGCAGCTCAACCTCTCTGTGCTGGGGCGCAGCCCCTCGCCCAAGGTACAGCTGCCAGGGGGACCCGGGCACCCTGGCCATGGGTCACACGCTCCCGGTGCCAGGCCCCATCCCCATCCTTGCAGCTGATCCCCTGCTGTCCTGCCCAGGGCCCCCCAAGCCCAGCGGGCAGCCTGCCCCGCAACCTGGCGGCCACGCTGCAGGACATCGAGACCAAGCGCCAGTTGGCCCTGCAGCAGAAGGGTGAGCTCTGGCTCCACGTCCCGGCTCTGAGGGGTGGTGGGACTTTGGGAGATGCTGCGCCCGCTGCGACTTGGGCAATGGAGAAGGGAGCCCGGCCGCGGGTGGGAGCAACAGCACTCCGGAGGGATGCAGTGCCTCTCTCACAGTCTCTTGCTTTTTCCCCCCTCTCCTCCTCCTGACCCCTCCGCCCGACGGCGTGTCTCCAGCCAAGCTGCTCCCAGCAGAGCCCTTGCAGCCAGGTGATCTACCAGGTAGAGATGTGGGGCAACTTGGACTGCCTGGAGCAGCCCGGAGGCAGCAGCATGGCTGTTTGCTGGCACCTTCTACCATGCATAAGAGGGGCATGATTAGCCCAGGACCCCAGATGCCTCTCAGCATCTGCTTAGGGACAACCCTGTGCATCCATAACCCGCTAATGCTTTGCCCAGCCTGCTCCTGCCAGCCTGGTGCATGTGCCCCCTTGGCTGTCCGGGCCCCCTCCTCCTGCCTGGATAGATTGCTGTGCTTGCCAGAGAGTTGTGACAGCAGCTCCCACCTCTGCTGCTACCATCCCTACCTGGCTCCAGCCTGTGGTGTCTTCTGCCTGTGCCACTCCCTCACTCACCACAGTGCGGTTCTGAGTGTGGCACACTTAACTCAACATCATGATCCTTCCTCCCGTGGCACAGGTCAGCAGGTGATCGAGGAGCAGAAGCGGCGTCTTGCGGAGCTGAAGCAGAAAGCGGCTGCCGAGGCACAGTCCCAGTGGGAAGCCCTGCATGGGCAGCCCCCCTTCCCCGCTGCCTTCCCCCGGCTCGTGCATCACTCCATCCTCCACCACCACCGTCCCCATGGCGCTGGGCCCCGGGCCGAGGAGCTGGACCATGCATATGACACCCTTAGCCTGGAGAGCTCAGACAGCATGGAGACCAGCATCTCCACCGGCAACAACTCTGCCTGCTCACCTGACAACATCTCCAGGTAACCCTGGGGCCAGCTCCTGCAGCTGGGGGACAGCCTGCTCTGGTGGTGCACTGCTGGCTCGAGGTCCTTCCTGCTGCAGCAGTACCTGCATCTGTCTTATAGTGCCAGCGGGATGGAGACAGGGAAGATTGAGGAGATGGAGAAGATGCTGAAGGAGGCACATGCTGAGAAGTCACGGCTGATGGAGTCCCGGGTGAGTGGGACCACACCAGCGCCGCAGCTGGATGGGGAGCAGGTCCCCAGTCCTTGGGGCTGAGCTCCTGTGTGTGTGCCAGCAGGAGCGGGAGATGGAGCTGCGCCGGCAGGCGCTGGAGGACGAGCGCCGGCGCCGGGAGCAGCTGGAACGCCGGCTGCAGGATGAGACCGCACGGCGGCAGAAGCTGGTGGAGAAGGAGGTCAAGCTGCGGGAGAAGCACTTCTCACAGGTGTGAGGCAGGCTGCCACCCTCCAGCAGCCTGGCCAGGGAGGAATACTTGGCTCCCTACTGATGTCCCAGGGTCCCAGTGGGGGGACATGGCTCTCCTTGCCACTGGTGGGCTTTGCAGGGCTGTGTTGCTTTTCCAGGCTCGTCCCCTGACGCGGTACCTCCCCATCCGCAAGGAGGACTTCAACCTGCGGCTGCACATTGAGTCCTCGGGCCACAGCGTGGACACCTGCTACCACGTCATCCTGACTGAGAAGATGTGCAAGGGCTACCTGGTCAAGATGGGGGGCAAGATCAAGTCTTGGAAGAAGCGCTGGTTTGTCTTTGACCGCATGAAGCGCACCCTCTCCTACTACATGGGTGAGTCCCTGTGCCGCCCAACGCCCCATCCCCGTGCCATCACCCACAATCCAAAACACTTCTCTCTCTCGGGCAGATAAACATGAGACAAAGTTGAAGGGTGTCATCTACTTCCAAGCCATTGAAGAGGTTTACTATGACCACCTCCGCAGTGCTGCAAAGGTGGGAGTCGGGCACTGCTCTGGTGTCTGCTGGGAGCCCCTGGGAGCATCCCCATTCTCCCGCATTGCCCTCTGACAAGTGTGCAAGAAGCAGCAGGGCAGCTCCTGCTGGATGCTCATGGAGTGGTCCATGGCCTTTGATGGAGCCAGCTCCTTGGGGTGCCAAGGGCAGGACCCCAGTGCTGGGCTTTGGAGGGGGGGCACAGGTGGGAATGCTGTTGCTTAAAGGGGCCAGAGCACTGATCCTGTCCTCCTCCCCTCCAGAGCCCCAACCCTGCACTCACCTTCTGTGTCAAGACCCATGACCGTCTCTACTACATGGTGGCACCCTCGGCCGAAGCCATGCGCATCTGGATGGACGTCATTGTCACCGGGGCAGAGGGTTACACCCAGTTCATGAACTGAGGGGTGGTGCTGTGCACCCTAGATCCACCACTTGGACAGACTCCTGAGGATCCCAAGCAGTGAGGAGCTTCTGCGGGAGCCACAGTCCCTGCTGCACCCTGTGCCAAGGGCTGTGCACACCATAGCAGTGGAGCTACACTGGGCCCATGCTGGGTGGCACTGAGCATGGCCTGCTCAGCCAAGGGAATAAGATTTTTTATGTTGACTTTTTAAAAACAAAATTTATTTGAAAAAGTGCTGAAATGTAAGAAGCTGCCAAAGAGCTGCCAGGGCCTGAGCTTTCTGCCTTGGGGAGGTGCTGGATTTGAGGCCGACACTTAACCACACTCAACACTGTTGCCACAGTGTTCCAGGGAGGGATGGTGAGGCCCCAGCTGGACAGGACCCCCCGCTGTGGTAGACCCAGACCCCTCTTTGTAAACCTTTTGTAACTCCGAATCAGTGTCCTGCCCGTGCCGCGGCCGGACGGGGATTGTGGGGCTGCCCAGCCATAAAGCATTTCATGAACCAGGCTCAGCCCCTCTGTGTGGCCTCTGGTCTGGCCAGACCAGAGCCTTCCCTGGGGGGGGGGGGGGAAGGGGGAACCTGAGGTGAGCTGAGGGGCACGGGATCGGACGTGGGAGACGGTGGGGGCCGCAGAAAGGTGCGGGAGGCACCGGCGGGAACTCGGGAACCGACTGGGAGCACCAGGACGGGTTGGGTTGCCGTGGGGCCGAGCCCAGCCGAGCTCTAACCGAGCCGAGCCGAAGCGGGAGCGGCGCAGGGGGGCGGGGCGTGGTCTGGGGGCTCGGCCGCCAGGGGGCGCGCACGGCGCGGGCCGCTCGCACGTGGCGCTGTTTCCGCGCGGCACACAACGGGGCCCAATGGGCGCGCGGCCCCCGCCCGTGACCACTTCCGGCTTCCCCCGACGTGGCCCAATGGGCGCGCGGGCGCCGCGGGATTGGTGCGCGGGGCCGGCGCCGCCGAACGCGCCAATCAGCGCGCGCCGCGTGCAGGCGGGGGCGGCGCGAGGCGGCGGGGCCGGCGCGGCGGGGGCGGCTCCGCGCGCCGGGCCGGGCCCAACCGAGCCGGGCCCAGTGCAGCCCACCCAGCCGAGCCGGGCCCAACCGAGCCGAGCCGAGTCCAGCCCAGCCCAGCCCAGCCGGGCCCAACCGAGCCAGGCCGAGTCCAGCCCAGCCGGGCCCAGCCCAGCCGGGCCCAACCGAGCCAGGCCTAGTGCAGCCCAGCCCAGCCGAGCGGTGCTGAGCATGGCGCGGATGAGCGGCCGGGCGCTGCCCTGGCTGCTGCTCCTCCTGTGCCTCCTGCCCGCCGCAGGTACGTTCGGGGCAGCGCGGGGGGAGGCGGTGGAAGAGCAGCGGCCGGTGTTTCGGTGCCGCTCCAGCGCCCTGACCGGGCTCACCCCTTGCCGGCCGCCGGCACCGGGAGCAGGGTCTCACAGAGGGCTTGTCTGCAGAGCCGGTGGCCGTGATGTCGGTGGACGTGGGCAGCGAGTCGATGAAGATCGCCATCGTGAAGCCCGGGGTGCCCATGGAGATCGTGCTGAACAAGTGAGCGGCTGTTCCAGCGTCCCTAGCTCCGCCGCGGGAGCCGTACGGGGGGCGGGGGGGCTCCGGTCTGTCCTACCGGGGCTGGATCCCGGGGGTGAGGATGACTGGAGCTCAGCCATCCATCCCTGTTCCTCTGCTGCCGGAGGGACGCTCCCATCCTCCACCCATGGTTGTGACTCGCTCCTGCCCCCGGTGAGCAGCTGTGGGGCATCGTCCAGGGCACCCTGGGGGGCTTGGAGGTGCTTTGGGCACCTTTCCAGCGAGTGCCGAAAGCCCACGTGGTTACGGACACGTTATGGTGTGAACCCGAAAGGGCACAGGTCACGTTCTTACTTGTTCCTTGATTCTCAGTTCCCCACAAGGCAGCCTAGAGCCAGGTTTGTTTTGCTGCAGCTGTTCAGAGCCCACCCACACTTGCTAAGAAGCAGGTGAAGCTTTCCCTGCACTCAACTGCTCCTGCAGCTCATCCCCAAGACCTTGAGTGAAGAACCTGCGGTTGGAAGAGGACGCATGATCAGGAACATCCTCATTTTCTGGGAGACTAGAGATAACAAATAAGTTTCTCACCCAGCTCCTTGACATTTGGCAGTCATAAGTAGAATGAGGGAACTGTCTTGCCTTGCTTGCAGGTGGAGGAAAACAAAAACAAAGCGAGTGTCAGCAAAGCACTGAAGGTGGCAGGGGGACTTCTCTGCCAGTTCCTCAGCTGAGCAGAGGCTGGTCCTCCTCTCCCCAGCAGATATCTGAGCACTTTCCTTTAGTTCTTCTGAAATGGAAACAACATCCTTCTTCACTAGAGACTCTGTGTGGAATGTTCACCTGTTTCAACTGGTTTATTCCTCTCTCTCTCCACAGGGAGTCACGAAGGAAAACACCCGTGGCTGTTTCTTTGAAGGAGAACGAGCGTCTCTTCGGTGATAGTGCTCTGGGGATGGTAAGAGTTCCTGTCCGCAGAACACTGGTATTCAAGGTTGTGATGAATGTCTGAGCCAGGGAATTTTATTTTGCTGTTCTGTGCTGCTCATCTCCTTCATGTGTTACTTGCTCTGCCTACTGGCTGTGTGCTCCTACTCCCATAGCAAGAGCTGTTGCCCACACAGCCTGGGAGGGGTTGGTTTGAGACTGGTGTAGCCAAAGGAATGCAGGTGGGTGATGTGCTTTTTTTTTTTCTGCAGTCCATAAGGACGCCCAAGGTGGCATTCCGGTACTTCCAGGATCTGCTGGGGAAGCGAATGGATAACCCCCACGTGGCGCTGTACCAGTCCCGCTTCCCGGAGCATGAGCTGGTGAAGGATGAGACAAGGCAGACCGTTATCTTCAAGCTGTCCCCGTAAGTGGCTGCTTTTGGGTTCTTTGTGGGAAGGACTTTGGCTGCCAGGCTTCTGCAGCTCACTGTTGATGCCATAATTTTCTTTTCTGTTGTAGAACAATACAGTATTCTCCCGAGGAGATGCTGGGGATGGTCCTGAACTATTCACGTGGTCTGGCTGAGGAATTTGCAGGTTGGAAGGATTTAGCTGTTTCTTGCAGTCTGTGTGTGTGTGTGTGTTTATGCGTTATAGGATTCAAGTAGACACCAAAGGTGTTTGGAAACTCAGGGGTTTTTAGAAACAGAATGTTGGGTCTCTCCAGCTGTGGGCTGTAAGCAAGACTATCTAGTTGTCATTTGTTTCTAATATAATGCAAGTTTGGGAACTTATTCCTGTTTCTGTGGGCAGGCACCCCAGTTCCCACCCAGCCTCGTGAAGGAGCCTTACGGGCAGTCTCTGGAGAAAAGTGAAGTGATCAGAGCGGGGGCACATGGGAAGGTAGCTGTAGGGGAGGGTGGAAGTAGCCCTGTGAAGGCTGTGCTGTGCCTGCTCTGGATGGAGACTTTGCTGCTGGAGCAAAAAGAGCAAAAAAGGCTCTTTGCTGTGAAACCTGCTAACAGAGAAGAGGCTGTAGTGCATATTTCATGCTGTGTTGTAATAAAATACCACAGCAATGAAAACTGGGTAAATTATTAGGAGGCTGTGTCATGTGGCCAGTGACACTACAGCCAGTCCAAGGACTTTTTACTGTAGAGTGAACATGATCCAGAGGTAATGTAAGGCTTCATGAAGATAATAATTGTTGAAATCGAAGGCAGCCCAGAGCATTTGAGAGTATCCTGACCTGTGAAACAGAGGTCAATAGACACGTGGCTTTGCGAGAATCTGCCAGGTCTGCTTGGTTTCAGCAGGACACAGAGATTCATCCCTAGGCATCCTCCTGCTGCTGTAGGATTGCATCCTGTACAAATCTTTACCGTGGGTCCTCTGGCTTTGCTGCTGTCACCCTGTCACAAGTCTTTGCATGTGGCTGACTGATCAATAAACATGTTCTGTGCAACTCTTTCAGAGCAGCCCATCAAGGACGTGGTGATCACAGTTCCTGCCTACTTCAACCAGGCGGAGAGGAGGGCGGTTCTGCACGCCGCCCGCATGGCTGACCTCAAGGTGCTGCAGCTCATCAACGACAACACTGCTGTAGCACTCAACTATGGGGTCTTTAGGAGGAAAGACATCAATGCCACTGCACAGGTAGGTGCTGCTGGGAGATGCGGAGAGCCCTGCCGAGTGCCTGCACGCAGGGGAGAAAGTGCTGCAGAAAAAATCCAAAGAACTTAAGGCAGACTCTGGTGGTCAACCAGTCTCCTCTGTTTTCACATGTTCATCAACAAGACAAAGAGGTTAAACCTGGTGTGCACGTGTGGTGAAGCCTAAGAGCTTCTGGAGTGAGGGCAGGTGCTGGGAGTTCCCGTTTTGTAAAACCTGTGTTTGTTCCTTGCCCATGAACTGGGGGAAATAACAGTAACAATTACTTGAGATATTGGAACACTGACTTAGAAGTACTTGATTTTCTTGAGGTTGGAGAAACTTTTAAAGGGCAAAGCTTTGGTTTTTGAGCTATGAAATAGATGTGAACAGTTTTCTTGTTCTTTTCTGTCAAGTGTGACCCTGAACATCTCCTGTGTTTGGTCTGAGTCTTGCCCTTACAGGATAAAGCTGGTCCAGGGAGTGGATAGTCATGGCCTGTATCGTGCTGAAATCCATGGGTTCTTTCCTTATTCATGCGGATATCCAGGTGTTTCTGCTTCACTGTCCCAGCTTTTCTTTTCAGAATATCATGTTTTACGACATGGGAGCAGGAAGCACCATTTGTACCATTGTGACATATCAGACAGTGAAAACTAAGGATTCAGGAACTCAACCTCAATTGCAGATCCAGGGCATTGGGTAAGAATTCTGCATGAGTTGCACAAACCCCACAGGACTCAGGAAAGAAACCATTTGTTTCACAGTCTTTTCTACATGTAGAATTTTGCAGTGAGGTTTCAGCACAGAAATTTGGGTGGTTGGGTGGAAAACATTTGGAGTGAGAAAGCTCCAGTTGGGAATAACTCTAGTGTTGCTAACTTGGGGAGAAGGTAACTGAGAACTTCCATGAGCCCAGAAGGGAACTAGTGTACTTAGTTTGCTTCAGGCTTGCTTTTTGATAGCCTCAAACCATGTAAGCCTGTTCCATTTCATGTGATCCTATAGAATTAGAGTGTGTCAGTTTGAAAAAGAGGAATATCCTTATAGAGAGGAATGAACATATTGCCAAGCAAAGAGGGGGGTGCTGTGCATAGCCAGCCCAGCAATTTTAACTCCAAAGCATTTATATTACTTTTCCAAGAAAATAGCTGAGACGGTTGTCCTTTGGCTTCTTAGCTGTTTTATGTGCTTGGCAATAAGGCTTTTACCACAAACGTAATGAAATTTCCTGCTCAAAGGCTGTTGTGACAGTGAGTCTTTTTTTTTTTCTTTCCTTATAATGTGTTGTTTTTGCGGCAACCATTGTACTTTCACAGTCAGTCACAGCTGATGGTACTGCAGCTACTTTTGACCACTTGTTGCTCTGCATATTTGCAAAATAACACATGAAGTTTGTTTGTATTTCAGTTCG